AACGTCCGATTACATGAACTTCCAGAACATGAAAAATTAATAATATTTGACTTATGTATGTATCGCATATGATATTTTATCAAATTACCTTTCATTATTTTTGAACAAATAGTACAACGGACTTCCATTTTGTTAAATATACTATATATTATATATAACTACTTAGTTTATATTTATTAAAATCTTTAAAATAATACAAAAGTATAAAAAGAAAATACCGTTTTATCAATTTCATAGGTGACATAAAAAATATAAGAAAAAACTGTTATTTTGTAGTATAAACATAAAAAAAAAACATTTATAGAAAATCTTATTTTAGCAAATAATAAGTAAAAATAAATGTATTTAAAGATCCAGTAAAAAAAATAATTTTAATTAATCAATCTTCAGTTTCGCTTGTAAATTCTGTGGATAAATTTGCCAATTCGTCACTTACTCTTTGGACACTTTGATAATTTGTCTCCGTATCTTTCACACCATAGATTTCTTTTTGGATGTATGTCCAGACTAGTTTACATGACACAGGATATTCTGCTTTTAAAGCAAAGAATGATTTGAAACAGAAATCTACACTATGTGTGACATCTTGAAATACATATTTTTCATCATTAATAACGACGTAAACAGCTTCTAATTTCTCCAAAGGTCCAATGGCAACAATGAAGGGTTGAAGAGTCAAACTATACTTTTTCATCAAATCTCGATGTTTTTTAAGTGTCGTCTCAAAATGAGTAATAACCTGTAGATATCATAAATTGAAAAAATTGAACAAAACGTTACGTACATTTATAAATTTATAAAATCTTAAACTTACATTTATCCAAGTAATGAACCCGTCACATTGTTCCTGATATGATGGTTTCCACGGAGTCTTTTTTTGACCGGTTTTCATAAATGCAGGTTTAAACAAATATGGCAGGACTCGCCAAGCTAATACTTCAGGTAATATATTTTCACCGTTTACGAATAGTTCTTTTGTAGATTTTCGTTGCTTAGCTAATTTAAGTATTTTAGGATGTAGTATGGACCATTTTTTGTGTAAGATATTTACTTCTGATAAGTTTAACAACTTATAATCTAATTCGATCAATTGTACTCCAAGTGGTGGGCGTAAATGTGGGTATTTCTCAAAATATTTGTCAATACTATACGTATTTTGACGAGATTTAAATGTTTTTTCCCACAAAAATTTTATTTTATCAAATTTGTCCAAAGTTGTGCAAGCCAATAATTCATTCAAGTATTGCTCCTCTTCTACATTTATTTCGGTTTCACTAATTTCTGCTTCTTTTTTGTCTAAATCAAATACTGCTTTTTTGATTTTTTTAGCAACGTTTACATATCTATTATATAATTTTCCTGATGCTACTTTGCCATCTTTATAAGGTTTATACCATTTTTCTATTGACTCGTTATGCCAAACATGAACAATTTCATTTGCCCAAAACATAAATGTTCTTGTAGAGATCCTAAAATATGAAATATTAAAAAAATAAATAAATAATTTTTGTTTTGTATTGCATTCATGATATATTTAATTATAAAAATATATAATTAAAAGTAATTATTTAACAATTTAGATTATTCATATATTTTTATATTTTCATATATTAAAAAAATTTATGCAAATTCATTTATTTTACATTACTTAAAGAGGGAGAACAGCGTTTGCACAGATCTAAATGTTATATAAAAATTAAATTGCAGAAAAAAAACGGTATTTTATAATATTAATATAACAAATCAATTATAAAGCTAAATTCTGTTTTTTTTTTAGTTAAAAATTTTAACATGTATCCATATTTTAGTTAGACAGAGTACAAGAAATATCTGATAACAATGGAATCAACACTCGTAAGCAAGTAGAGAATATCAAACTAAATAGTAAAGTCCTCTGCTATTATACATAATTTTGTAATAGTTATTAAAATACAAATTTAAACAAATATCACTCCGTTTCTCGTCAGATATTGACCATTGAGAATTATCCAAAGAGCTACGTTGCTTTATTCATCATACATCTACAGAGCTTCTTGTATACTCATTTAACATTTAACATTTTCTTTAATTAATATCTTAATAACGATTGTACAGTTTGTAAAATGCATAACTTTTCTATTCAATTTTACATTCTTTAGCTCGAGTATAGATCCCATTATTACTAAACATCCATGCATACCTCACGTTTTTCATATCACTTAAAGAGAAAAAGTAATGTCACAATAATTCCGAAGGTAATATAAAATTTCAAATATTGCAGAAGATAATAATATTTATTTTAGAACATAATTAAAAAAATATATAATACGTACTTGCAACTTTTTTGTAGAAGATGGTCGACAATAAATTTTGTTAAATCATCAGAATCTTTATTGGAGAGACGAGTTTTTGTCAAGAAATATTTGCCAATATTTGACTTCTTTAGTAACGCTTGTAATTTCTGCAATATTATAAACAGGAATAAACATATTGATAATAAACTAATATAAAATAATGCAAGATTAAAAATGTACCGTGCCAGCTTCATTTGATGTTACAGTCTCAACAACAGAATCAACGCTTTTTGATGTCTAAACAAAAATTTCATTAAGTAATCAAAAATCATAAGTAATAAAAAATAACAATTATAATAAAAGGATAAATAAAAAATATATAAAATGTAAAATAATATTTTTCTACAGAATTGCTACACAATTAGACATTATCACCAAGATAAATTTAGATGTATCATTTATAAAATTGCAATTGTAGATATTTTAATTAATAACCATATACCAAAATTACAATAAATAATTAAATTAACAAGAATAATTAAATTTCATTAAATGGTTTATAAAAAGTTATTTAAATTAAACAATGTATAAAAAATTGTAATAAATTGCTTGTATAATTTATGTAAATATGTATAATTAGGCAAGAATAATTTCTTCAATAATTCAAAAATATAATTGTTCAAAGAATATTATTTTTTTACAAAAAAAATGTTTATTACATTAAGTAGCAATTTTATTTCTCATTTATTTCAATGTGATGTTATCAGAAATTATTAACAATATACTGTGCTATATATTTTAGTTTACTTTTCATAAAGTAATAGTTAATTTGTGTAAAGTGTAATATAAAAATGAATTTTTTTTAAATTTATTTTGATCAAATAATCATCAATACATAAAAATATTGAGACTAACTTGGTAATATTAGTATATTACTGAGTTTAATCACTACAAAAAATAAAAGGATAATAATCTTTTAGTTTGTTTAAATAGAATGGTTATAATGTGAAACTTACAGATTGTTTTAATTTGTCTCTTTCCGTGACAAATGTATAATAATCTCCCAGTGGTTGAATTAATTTTTCATTTATTGCTTCATTAGGAATAAGCAAAAAGTTTGATTCATTTACTTTATGACCTATAAATATAGAAAGTAAATGCATAATTCAATGTATAAAATCTGTACTAAATGAAATGAAAAAATATTTTTATAATTTTTGTATTTTTAGTATTATTTTATTAATTTTTTAAATAAAAACATTTAAAAGAAATAAATAGCAGATAATTAAACATAATTTTTGTAAAATGAAGAATACAAATGACTAGTGAAATATAACAAAATTATACTCACTGGAGAATATTTCAATATAATTCGCAAGATTCCATTCTATTAATTTATCACGAACAAAATTATCTTCAATAGTGGCAGAAAGATTTTGAGAAATGTTAGATGTTGAAGGTCCAGCATCATCATTATTCTTATTAATATTATCATTAGGTGTTGTCATTTTTAATAAGATATATAATATCTTTTAATCTGTAATTGTTAAAACCTGTAGCTTTTAACCTTTTTGATGCACTTATTTTCCACGCAGCATTTGTGTTGCATAGCAAAAAATAAATCAATTAAAAAAAACTAAATAAAATCAAGAAATAAAAGTAATAATGATACTGCCATTAAAAGTTACAAAAGAAGCCTAAACTAATATTGCGTTCCGTTTCACGCATGATAAACATATTATTTTTTCCTTGTGCACTGAATGTTAAACAAGAATAAAATGATATATTATGCACATCATGCGTGAAACTCCAACTCCAATTCGAAAAAGAAATGGCTCTCGGTTCACGAACTGTGCCGATACAGCCAAATCATGCATGAAATGAAATGCAGCCTGAGTAACAGATTGAGATGAGATATTAGAAATAGCCTCAATCTTGAAAATTATGTCCGAAAATTTAACGGAAAACTTAAGCAGGAGAAGAAAAGAACGTGTAGTAATTACCTATCACTAGTAAATGCAATAATTCCTCTCATAAACCACAATAACCAAAATAAATCATGAACGCAAATATGGCTGACAATAGTCAAGGAACGAAGTCGAGACGAACTGGGCCCACACAGATAACACGGCAAGATGGTATATGGAGAGGATAGCCAGGATAGGTGGAGATCACGTGATTCGTAACGTCGGCGTACGGCATACGCGGACGTGAGTCACGTGGGCTTCAAAGTGATACTAGTTTGAAGACGTTGCTTGAAAGATGAAATTAACGACATTACACATTTGGAAATTCTTCAAATTTTGATTGTTTAAGGTCCGTCTTAGGGTAAGCCGATTGTTCCGCATCTTCATCTTATATCTAGTTCTATCCTGGAAAAGGATTTTCAATTCTGTACAGCCAATTCGGAGAATTTCCAAATTTATGTCAGTAATATCCCTCCAGCATAGCCTGATGCATTTTGCACTATGCGCAAACGCTCAGCCATTAGACCATCTTGCAAACAGAACACAGATTCTCACTATACAATAAAAAGTAACGTGATAGAAGAAATGATTAATTTTAAAAAATTGTATGTTTTTTGGCGTCAACTATCTTCTTGTTGTTCTAACAAAAAGTAGTAGTTATAATATGCATATAAGATTAATTATAATATATAATTATAATATATAGTATCACTTACTACACAAAAATGGTTCTGCTGATTATAATTTTTTCATTATGAAATAATTGCAAAAATTCACATTTTTTCTTCAATGATATATATTCAAAAATGTTAACTTTTTATTCTAGATTTTTTATGTGATTTTACTTATTGCCATTCAATTTTACTAAGTTTTAATCGTTATTTTTGTAAAGCAATATTAAGCAAAGAAATATTTTCAGACAGAAAGATTTTGTTTGAAGTAAATTAGAAATAAGAAAATTAAATTTGTAAAATTCCAAATACTATATTTATGCAGTTAATACATGATTTACATAGGCATTCTAAAATTTTTGTTGTTCCAAAATTATAATTTATGTAAATTCGTGTTTAGGAAATTACAATATTATATAGTTCATGTTATTTCTTCCATAAAGTTTGTACAGCTATTATTTATTACTTCTCGTAACTACTCAGATTTAGTTCCAATGACATAAAATAATTATTTTTATCTTACAGAATTCATAGTAACGGAAACTATGTACTGACAATTATACAAATTTTATATGTAGAATTAATATACATAGTTAATTAAACTATAAAATAATATAATTAAAATATTATAGTTTATGTTACACCTTCTATGAAGTTCGTGTAATTATTACTTATTATTTCTCCTAGCCATTTACATTTAGTTGTTAATATAATCATAAAAATATTTTTTTCTGTTAAATTATTTTATGTTACTGCAAACAAGTCTAAATAGTTGCGAGAACTATTAAATAATAGTAGCACAAACTTGATGGAAAGAATATTATGAACTATGGTATTTTAATTATACTATTGAATAGTTTATTTAACTATATAAATTAATTTTTTACAAATAAAACTTGTATAGTTGTCATCTTTATAGTCACCACAACTATATACGCTACATAAAAGAAAAATAGTTATTTAATTTTATTGTAACTACATCTGAATAGCTACAAAAACAATTAAATAATAGTTGCACAAACTTTATACGAGAAATGATATGAACTATAGTATCTTAACTATGCTATAGAATAGTTTATGAAACTGTATAAATTCATTATATATACTTAACTTACATAAGTGTCATCTATATTATTATCACCACTATACACTCTATGAAATAAAACTAATAATTTAATATAATTGCAACTAAATCTGATTAATTAAAAGAACTATTTAATAATAGTTGCATAAACTTTATTGGAGAAATAACATGAACTATATTGTTTTAATTTCATGAATAATCAAAATAAAATATATAGAGCTGGCAACTATTTAGACGGCAAGTATATAAGTTTTGTATGTAGAATCAATGCACAAAGTTGAATGAACTATTTTATAGTTGTATCAACTATATACAATAATTCTAAATACAAAACTTGTATAGTTGACGCCTATATAGTTGCTATCACTATGTATTTTTCTCTGAGTGTAGGCGCGGAAATTTTACAGTCTTCTATTTAATTAATAAAAACGATCGAGAGCTCCGAAACGCTAACATTTAAATAAGCGCGAGATATTTAACAATTTAACAATTTTATGATTAATTAATTATAAAGTTCGCGATATCTGATCGTTTAAATGCAGGGCGCAAAAATTTTATTGTTCTATATTTAATTAACAAGAACGACCGCAAGCTCTGAAACGTGATAGTTTAAATAGGCGCGAGATATTTAACACTCTTATTATTAATTAATT